CACCATTCCACTATTCACCTATTGATATATACTTAGCAATAAAAGTAAAAGCAATAAAAAACCAAATGAAGGTTCTAGCTTGTGTAGATCCTGACAGCCTGCTTCCTAGGGCTGAGAGAGAGTGACTGGCCCAAATTCACACTGTTAGCTTCATGCCTAAGGTGGGATTAGAACTCATGGTCTCCTGGTTTCTAGTCTGGTGCTTTAACTACTATACCAGACTAGCTCTCCTAAATTCCCTTTGCTTGTGATTAATTAAGGACTGTTTGATATTGGTATAGAATAAAGCTGGGATCCAGCTTTACTGACCTTTAGAATTTCTTCCTTCTTGTTAAAGTTGTTAGAATGTTTGTGAATCTTGATGGCTTCTCTGTGCATTTGTATGTAATAAGATGCTGGCCACAACTGCTGGTGAAACAGAGTATCAAAGATTAGATCATGGCCATTTACCCCCAAAACTCCATTTAATTGATGCTGACCATGAAATCCTACAACACTGTAAAAGTGTTGATTACCTAAGACAGAGATTGGGTACTCAGATAACCATAGTCCACTGACATGTAAGTTCATTGATTGGAGAATTTTTTATTCAGATCACAACAGTCCACTGACATGTAAGTTCATTGATTGGATAATGTTTTAGGCTTATTTTACAGGTATATCGCCATTGAAATAAAGTGCCCTCCCTCTTTTTTCCTTTTTTTTTTGTATTTATTTTTTCTCATTTTTACAATTCTGGAGGAAGGAAGAACAGGAAGCCAGAGCCTGTTCTAAGTATCTGCCAGAAATTCTTAAAAGAATTTGGTGCATTAGCTGGTTTTAAGATTAATCAACAGAAGACACTAACAAAAAAAACATGAAGACACAAGATCAAATAGAATTGGTAAACAAAACAGGTTTCAAGATTGAGAAAAAGGTAAAATATTTGGATGTTACTTTGACAAATATGAACTGTATGTTATTTCAAAATAATTATGTTAAGACAAGGAATGAAGTTAAAAAAGATTATGGTTAAGATGGGACAAATTACAGTTGTAATTATTGGAGAGAATTTCTGTGATTAAGATGAATGTTTTGCCTAGAATGTTATTTTTGTTTGAGACAATGCCTGTTTTGACAACTGATGTACCAATTAAACAGTGGCAGAAAGTTATATCTAAAATTCTCTGGCAGGGGAAAAAACACAAGTCAAATATAAGGTGTTACAAGATGCTAAAGAAAGAGGAGGTTTGGGTTTACCTGATTTGAAACTTCTTTGTAGCTTGCTGTTTAGTTTGATTGAAAGAGTGGATGATGCTAAGAAATAGAAGATTATTGGAGCTAGAAGGACATGACTTGAGGTTTGAGTGGAATGGTTATTTATGGTATGATAAAACTGAAGTTAATGTTGACTTTAAAAATGATTTTGTTAGACAGGCCATATTGAGAATATGGAATCGATATAAATCTAGATTGTGACTGAAAACACCACTGTGGCTCTCACCACAAGAAGCGTATTATAGAAGAGAAATGATAACTAACATAAATGGTTAACTTATGATGATATATTAGAATTTTCCCAGGGAGAATTCAAAATTAAAATTAAAGAGATGTCTTGACGTTAGAAGGATATATGTATCAATGGTTTTCTTATGTACAATTATTAGAAAGATTTAAAGTAGGTAAAAGGATTTTTGGTTTTGAATGTTCTAAGTGAATTTGAAACAGAATGATGAACATGTTATTGCTAAAATGTATAAACTTTATTGAGATTTGAAACAGAAGAAGAACAAGTGAAAGAATATATGATATAATCGGCCAAAATTTTTGGTTATAACATACAAATGGAACAATGGAAGAGTATGAGGATGAAAGGACTGAAATTTCTGATTTCTGATTTCTATTTCTTATTTTTGTGAATTGTCAATTGACCAATCCTATGTATAAAATACATGTTTACAGAAATTCAAAACTTCTTTTTAATGGACAGTATGTATATAGATCATTAGAAGTTGGAAAACATGCAGAAGATTGTGCTATGGAAGTCTCTTATCATCTATATATTGATTCCTAGAATTTGAAACATATGTAACATACTGTAGGTTATACACTGAAATATTAGATGTAACCTGTTTTCTCATTTTTTAGGTGGCAATAATTGCTGGAAATTTTGAGCTTGCTGAATATATCAAGAACCATAAGGAAACTGATACTGGTAAGTACACTGGGATTTCCATTCAGTATTGTATGGAAGTTATTACACTAATCAATTACATAGAATGAGGATAAAATGAAATAGTTTTCATATAATATGTTAAATAATTGTTGACATATGAAAACCTAAGCTGATTAAAAGCTCACTTTGAAAAACTCCAAAAAATTATCCAATATAGCAAAGCGTATTTTAAAATAGTAATATAAAAAGAGGTAAGAGTTGTGTGCATTGGGCTTCATGTATATGTCAACAAGGAAAGAGTAGTGGATATCTCAACAAATTAATAATTTTCTAGCATCTATCAAAATATTGCTTCTGTCGGAAGGGTATCAGAAAGCATGTTTCTAATGCTTTTATACAAATTTGGGGAATGACCAATGCAGTGCAATAAAATACAGTGTCCTTTAAGAGTTTTTAGATCTAGAAGATATGTCAAATGTGTGATTGTAGAAAGAGGGAGGAGCTTTCCTGCGATGGGAATATTTTTGGTTTTGGAACACAGGTTCTGCTTGAAGTTACATTCTATGAAAGACTGAGGCTTGCAGTTTGCAGGTTGTCCTGGATTTGGCATGATCAGCAGAAGTATAGATGGCCCTGATATCCAGGAGTGTGGCTGTATATGTGTGGGTTTTACCAGCTTCATTTTATTCAGCAGCAGTGGACTTAACTGGAGAAAGCACATTTTGCCTCAGTCATACTTCTGATTATACCCAGTCACTGTTTCTCAGCCCTAGGAAGAAGAAGAAGAAGGCAAACCACATCTGAAAATCTTGCCAAGAAAACTGCAGGGACAGGCAGTTGCCAGGAGTCAACAATGACTTGAAGGCATGAATGTGTGTGTGCGCACGTGCGCGCGCACACACGCACACAGGTTTCTGAGGGCTGGCTTTAAAACTGTTTTGGAAACTTTATTTGAATAAAGAAAGTGTCAGTAAGAGAAAAATTGTATTCTATCATTACATTCACACGTTTTTAGCCTTGTGTTCCTTTATAGACAGAGAAAGTAGGAAAACTTATGAAGCTTAGGCCTGCTTCCAATCTCTTCCTATTCTGAAGTAAAAATAGCATCTAAATAAGCTCTTGGTTTGTGACATTGCATTAGTACATTGCTTGCTATAGTCTAGTAGAGCTATTTTTAGATCAAGAAAATGGTCAGTGTGTGAATTTCATATTATTATAAAATCAAGTTCTTCCTTGGAAAGATACAGTTCCAAAAAAGATAAATATTTAAATTTATTTTACAGCATTTTTTTTTTTAAAGGACAAGCAAATTCCTGGTCCTTAATGTTTATAGGCATTTAATGGGTGAATAAGACTTTCTGGCTGGCAGTCATACATATTTCTTTGATAGGTGTTTGCATTTTAAGAATTACAGTAAATGTGTTTTATTTTAAATTATTCAAATTTTCACAATGTTCATATATAAACATTACAGGTATATCAGAGTATTTTTAATAAATAAGCACATTAAATTATTCTTGAGAGCTACATTGTTTCATTTACTGCATATTTTATAATCAGTGTTCCGTCTTTTAACAATGAAAGTCTTTAGTGTCCAGTAGCTAAATATCCTTGATTGACATGTTATCCTTGCCTGCTGTACTGCAATTAGTTGTCACATTTTATTTTTTATTTATCTGAAGGGAAAGTAATAGATTAAAAGCTACGATTAATAGAAAAGTTAATCCCTGATTGTTTCCATCCAGTCTACAGCTGTCTGTGACTAAATGAGCACAGAAGGTTTAGAAAGCATTTGCCATACAGCATTTACTAGGGCCTCTATAGGATGGAGATGCGAAAAACTAGCAATAATATATATAGGAATCTGGACTATCTCTTTAAATACAGCTCTGCACATTTTAAATATGTTGCAAACCGAGGATCCTTTGACTTGGATAATCTATTTTTAAATCTTCTTTTTATTTTGTTTTGCCTTGGCTGTTTGTGATGAGATGAATTATCCGATGGATTAAATGACATGGGTTGTTCCTCTTCAAGTGAACAAGGTTTGTTTTATCATATTCCTTTTCCTTTGGCTGCTCTGAAGATAGAAACAAGAGGGATTTTATTTTAAATATGAAACACATTGAGGTGCTGGTGTGTGAGTTTTGGTAGTTGATTAGCAGACTAACTAATACTTAGATACTGTTGCTAGGCTTCAAGTCAGAGTTCTTGTATTCCTCTATAATTATGCAGAGATGTGTATATGTGATGATTTGTGGGTGTTTCAAACATTTTTTAAAAATTAATTTTTTATGTGTGGATATCAAATGGCTGCTGATGCACTAAACCCATTCATTATTATATGTGCTATATCTGGCATTTGCTTTAGAATTAATATATTGGTATTCCAGATATCAAGGCACTAAACATACTGCTTATAATGGAAAATGGTTTTTGTTTATATTTTGAAGAAACAGCTGCCGTTTCTGCTTATTTGCATCTTGAGCATTTATTTCGAAGCCAGAGTGATTGAGGTCAATATTATTGCTTCTTAACTAAGAATTTGAATTAACTGCCATCTGGTTTAATTCTATTCATTTATTTATAGCTTTTCATATGAATTGTTTAAGAGTGGGATTTATAAAAAAAATAGTTTTTGCAGACTAATATAGGTATCAGAATTTTTTAAATCCTGATTTACACCAATTGAAATTAGAAATACTAAAGGAACCTTAAATAAAACAGTGAGCAGCATGTGTGAGTTGCACTATTTTTATCTTGCCTTCCTTAGTAGAACTAAAAAGGGTAGGAAGTATTATTGTGGCCATGTTCATTCACCATTTTAGTTATGAGTAATCTTAATCTTTATTCAAATGCTATAGTGAATTTCTCATGGCAAACAGTAGTTTTATTTTAATAGCCAAATTAAAAATGACGCTGACAGTTTAACATACTTAGTTTTAAGTATATGGTATCATGAATCTAAAGTCATTGTTCGTTTATCTGTAATCATAAAATTTAAAACTTTTATTCTGAAGCCAGAAAAGAACATAACACCTCACTGTCTAAATCTATTTGGTGCATTGAATTGATGTTAAAAATAAAAATCAGTCATGATTAATCAGTTATGCATTATCAAGTTGATATCAGATATGGAACAACTAACTGACATGTCAAACATGAATGTTAAATAGCCATATTGCTGGAAAGTAGGTAAGCTTTTTGCTCCTATCTTTCTTGATAGAATACAGAAATTTTCAGTCTGGTGGAACATAAATAATGTTCTCCTAATCTTGTATTACCTAGAAGTTTTAATTACCGAAGCATTCTTCCCCACCTCCAAACAATTCAAGATACTCAATATCCCTGTCTCCCATTTGTAATTAGAAGAATCCTTTGAGGTAGGCCAAGTAGAAACAGTCAGTACTTGTGTATGGAGCAGACCAAAATCATCCACTAAGAAAAGACTACAATTACATTGGCCAGTATATATAATTTTCTGTCTTACAATAACAGCCATAGGCCTGGAGGGTCCACTTTGCCATATACCCAATAGATTCCAGTCAAGGGTGAAGCATGTTGGCCCGTTTGGCAGGATAGGTGAAGAGTGGTCATAAGAAAAATAATGTTCATTTAATATTAAAAATATTACTATAGTTGCCAAGAAGAATTAAATAGCAATTGTATACATGTGTAGCATTTATTTAAGTTCTAGATTAATTTCTTAATTTTTAAAAGGGTGAGCTTTTGAACTCAGATTTGTCATTATGTAGCTTCTAAGTTAATGTGGAATGCTTAAAAAGCTTCTGATGAACACACAGTCCATTACTGCACATAGTTAAGCTAAAAAATTGTGCCTATAGATCTTTAATAAAATCTGTTGGCCAATTGTTAAGGTTTGTGATTGCATAGTTTTAAAAGACTTGCCAAATGCCATAGTGGAATTTGAAATGACAAAGTTTTACTGCTTTGAGCTTCAATCATTGTTTTTCTGTTTTGTGATGGTCCACTGAGTTGACAGAGCAAAGGATTAATAGGAAAGGCATTTCTGTGTTGTAGCTGTCTAAATGCATTGTATGAGGAGGAACTTTATGCTTTTCTGAAGTTTTAATTGTTTTCTGTATTTTTTTTTTAATATGGAATGGAATGAGAATGGTAACTTCATATGAAATAATGAATATCCTTTCTAACTTTTGAAGGGAAATGGATTTTATAAAAGAAACAAAGAAAGGATACATTTGTAGTAAAGTGTATGGAAATTAACATAATGAGATAAAAGTAGACTAAATGTAACAATTATATGAGCTGTATTATTTTCATTTATGATGGAATGTTATAGCATCTTTTTACTGACTGTTAGTATGCCTATTGATCATTCTTTAAAAAAGAACATTGACATAAGCTTTTAAAACCATGTCACATTTTTCTGTGCCTTTTAGGGAACAGGATTCCCAGATACTTAAGAATAATTTTGCTAAGCAGAGACAAAAGGAAAGGTGTCAGAACTGAATCCATAATATGTAATATTTACTTACATTAAAATGCAGTAGGGGCTTTTTTAACCTACAGGTCAAACAAAGTATGTTTGGGCCAAATGCAATTAAAGACAGCTAGCTAGCCCACTGAACACTCTCCCTGTTTCAGCTGCTGCAATTTCTGTCTTATTGCATGAGTCTGCTTCTGCATCCTGGTTTGGACTGGGATGATCCCATGGATTATTATCCTGATTCTTCCACCAGTCCTTGCATGGATTGGATTTTTGGGGTTGTTAATCAGTTCAAATTGTTAGTGCTGACCTTCTGGTCTATCCATGCAGGGAGCTCCAGTTTTTTGAATAACTTGATTACAATTCATGTTCCTGTACACACGGCTTCATTGTGCCATCAGCATCACTTAGTTCTCCCTCTTGTCAGAAGGGCCACTTGACGTTTTGTTCCTACTCTTTAGAATTGACACCCCTTTGAATTACATTTGGAGTCTGTCTCCCAAGGCTTAAAAAGGCCCTCTCTTTTTTTCAGGACCTTTATGAAGCTCAAGGAACTTTCCTTTTCAAAGGCAGTGTGCAATGCCATCTTAAATTACAATAGTGTTTGGGTTAGATAATATTTTTAAATTGATTATTATACTGTTATACATTGATACTAGTTTATACTGCATGGTAATATTTATTGTTTTGCTTGTATTCTGCTTAGGTACAAGTGGTTACCAAATAAAAATACATTTCTTCCTCCTCCTCCTTTGTATTCCAAAACAGGAGTGTTCAGAAATAAGCAGACAGCCTCTCTTGATCTTTCTTTTGTTCACCTGAAAATTGCTGGCCAGAACCATATGAACTTTTTGTATTGTTTTCTAAAATTACAACTGGTCTTATAGCCTCATAATTGCAATGATTTCATGAGCACTTTTGTTGCCATGTGGTCTGTTTGTCCATCTCTGCACTTCCTCTTCCACTAAATCTTATCTAATAAGGTCAAAGAAAGATTTTCTATCTCCCTTTTGGAATTACTCTGATTATGAGGATACTCACATTTTTAGATGGATAATAAGGAACAATTATATAATTCTTTCTTTTGGTTTATATTCCTTATATTTCTTTCTTTCTAGCCTGGCTGCTTCATGTCTACCACCTCACCTCCTCTTCCTTTTCCCTTTGAAATATAACTTCCTTTGACTTGTTGTCCTCTCACTTTTAATACTTTCTCTTCCCCCTCCTTTTTTGCAGTTTCAGTAATTAACCTATTAATTGCCCTTTGTATTATTATCTACCAAAAAAGCATTTCCTAGAGAAGCTCCCTGTTGCTCCTCCCATGTTCCTTTCAGAGGTACAGAAGTATATTTTTGAAGCGATGCATGCTGTCTCCTTTTGGACAAATGTGCATGTTTTTGGACTGTCTATATCATACTGACCTCAGTCTGTCCTTTGCAAGAACAGTGTTGGAGAAAGCAAATGCATGTGTGAATGTTCCTGAGAGCAAGGATTAGTGGTGCAGTTTTGTAAATTTATCAGAAAAAAGATTGATTTAGGGAAAAACCTGAAAGGGATGGGCAAAGCCTAGCACTCAATTAGCTAAATTCTATCTGGAGGAGAATAATTGAATAAAGAGGCTCCATGCATGCATGGCGTGGGAACAAAGACAAAAGGAAGATCCTGAGATTAGCAATTTCATAGTGAGAGAACAGGCTGAATAAAAAACAAAGAGAAAACACAGACTAAATCCCTTTTTATCTATATTCTACCCTTACTTGTTATCAATAGGCTGTGAGGTGCTGAGGAGTCAGGGTAGATTAATCTACATCTTCACCAGCTATTTGTGTTATGGAAAGGCTTATTCTTGAAAAATGGAAAACTAGCTTTCAAATACGTTTGCATGCAGAAAGTATGGAAATGCCAGGGGCAGGGGGTGGGGAGAGGAGGAGCAAAATTAGATCAAGGAAGTATGTGATGTTGGGAATGGAATTATCAATCTGGAATCACTTTTCTCTGTAATATAAATGTTTGAAGGGATTATCTGCAGCCTTTAGTGGAACATATACTGAATGCTGGGGGGGGGGGCATAATCTGTAGAGAGGCTAACTTACTTGAAATATATGTTTTTCAATTAGTTTTGTCCTTTTTCAGTATTTATTTTATTTATTTATATTTCATATTTCTCACTGCCCATCTCACTGTGGGGTGGCTCTGTCTTCCAGATCTTCTGATTCTATTTTAAAATGTGCTGGGATGTATATAAATAGTTTGGGCTGTTTATGGATACTGAGGTGCTATGAGACAGGTTTGTCTTGCTATTTCCAAGACTATAAAGCTTGCAGAAAAACAACATTCAATCAAATATTCCATGGTCAGTAATTAGTGCCTTGTCCTGCCCTCTCAATTTTACATCTAGAGAAATATCCATTCCCTTTTTTAAAAAACAATTAAGAGATATTAAATTGCTGGCATTTTCTGTGTTTGCCATAGAGACACACACTCTTTGTCTTCTGCATTAAAATATATGCATTTTAATGTGTAGTGTAAAGTCCGGAATCGTCTCCTTGAGTTAATTAGTTTTTAGTTTTACTTATG